GATCTTCCGGGACTTCAGTTAGCCATTCATTAGCATCATCGATGTTGTCCAATCTAATTGGATCAATTACATTGCGAGTGTTGTAACGACGCCTCAATGTTCTATTGTACTTAATGAAGACTAGATCATTGAGACGCTTCAAGGTTAGTTTGTTCCTCTTTTTGGTATGAATCTACAAATAATAAGTAATTAGTAAGATTAGGACAATTGAGATATAATTTAATTATCTCAATATACTAAATCTTTCTTATTAGTTCTTACATGCTCAAACACGCTCCAATTCCTTTCATACCCAGATGAGCTACATGTTAGACTTAGAACCTTGATGGCAAACTTTTGTAAATCCGGAGTGGAATGACCATATTGCTTCTACCATTCAACTGTAGAAGTAGAACAATTTTTCAAAACATTATATTGATAAAGAATTAACTTATTAACTATAAAACAACATATAAGCACTCGATCACCTGGTGACTTCGTCTTTCTTTGTCTAATGGCCATGTTTTTTCCAAAAAGTTGCTCGACATTCCTATACTAAATTGCTCTGTGATTTTATCTTGCACGGATTCTTCAGGTATCAACTTACCATTCCACAAAGGTTCATCTCCTAGAATCCTCTCTTCATTGTCATAAAACAGTTCCGGGTTCAAAACAAGTCCAGTTGCATGCAAAGGGCTATGAAGTTTACTATCCCACCTTTTATCTATGATCTCAAAGACTCTTTTGTATTTTCTTTGGTCACTAAAAGAGGCTTGAATAGCCTCCTTTGCCCTATCAATTGCTTCGTACAGGTAGCCCATTGGTGGCCTTTGCTCCCCGTCCACCAAATGAAGCACTTTAACTAAAGGACAACCAATCTTCAATGCATGAACCACATTGTTCCAGAATGAAGGAGAAAGTATAATATCTGCGGATTCTCTCCTTCGAGTTTCCCTTCCATAGGCACTGCTAGTGTACTCATCTGAAATAAACAACTTCTTCAAATTGCTTTTTTGCTCATACATCCTATGCAAAGTCAAGAAAGCAGTAACAAATCTTGTCTTTGCAGGTTTCACCAAGCTTCTTTGTTTAGTGAATCTCTTCATCATGTTCAATAACAAAAGCCTTTGAACAATATAGGAATGCACTCTAATTGCCTGATTAAAGACAGTACTGAAGGGTCTTTCCTTGAAAATATCACCGAAGATCAAATTAATGGAATGTGCTGCACACGGAGTCCAATAGATATGCGGGTACCCAGCAGACATCAAATCACCAGCTTTAACATTTTCACTGGCGTTGTCCGCGACAACTTGAACAACATTTTCTGGTCCAATAGAGTCTGTACTCTTGAACAAGGAGTACATTTTGGTTGAATCAGCCGAAGAGTCGGTTGCATCAACGGACTCAAGAAACAGGCTTCCCTTACGAGAATTCACCAAGATATTGATGATCATTTTTCCATTTCTCGCCGTCCACTTATCCATCATAATGGAACAACCAAACTTGTTCCATTCTACTTTGTGCTCCTCCACGATTTTGTTCACCTCTGCCTCCTCTTTTTTTTAGATATGGCCCTCTAACTTCATAATAAGTTGGAGGCTTCATTCCTGGATCATATTGGCCTACGACCTCAATAAAAGCAGCAAAAGTGTCAGTATAATTAACACAATTAAAACGAAGACCTGCATCATACATCCACCGGGTAAAGCAGGTAACTGCACGGTCCCTCAAAATCGCTTTGGCATCAACTTGAGGATTACCACTTTTTCCTCCCTTATCTCTAGATTTTTGCGGGAAGTAACAATTGATAGGACCTTTGGTCTTGCCAGTAGATCCACAACTAGAAGACATTGGTGGAAGCATCCTTCCCCGCTTTTGTGATTTTGGTGGAAGCGGCGAAGCATCGTCACCTTCTTCTGTTTCATCATCATCATCATCAAGATTATAAAGTTCTTGTTCATGAATCATTTGAGTCTTTAACTCTTTCTTTTTTTGAAGGTATGCTTTCAATTCTTCCTTCATATGCCCCGGAACTTTAGGACAAGATGCGACATTTGGATCACCATCGATTAGATGCGCTTTTTGATGATAGATTCCTCCATTTGTAATCTTATCACAAAAAAGCCATCTAATGGTCATCTTGTTGGTCTCGTTAACTCTTGCAGAGTAAGCCCAAGCCGAGTCTTTTATATCTTCTTTTGGCGCCATTAAAAGAACAACTACATAACACATAAGAAAGACAAGAAGAACTAAGAATAAATGATATAATAATTGGGCAGAAACTAAGCAGAAACTGGAAAAATTGGGCAGAATTTTTCTGACAAAAATTCGCCGGCATTTCGGCGCTTTTTTGACGTTTAGAAAGAAAAAGAAAAAGAAGAAGAATAAGAATAAGAACGAAATAAAAAGTGCAGAACATACCTGTTGAAAGTTGCTGTTGTACTGTTGAAGAAGAAGAAGAAGAACCCTAGTTTGAAGAACAGGAGTCGCTGCTTGAAGTTAATGAAGAAGAGAGGAAGAAATCGCTGGTTTGAAGAACTCTAGTTTCTCGTTGCTGAAGAAGTCGAAGAAGTCCAGAGTCCAGACTAAAATAGAATACCAAGTTTTTAATTAAATAGGGCTTTGGGTCTTTTAATTAAAAGAGCGTCCGCTTCTCTCGCTTCTCTGCGCTTCACCACTTCTCGCTTTTTACAGAGAAGCGGTCGCTTATACATACCAGAGTCGCTTTTAATGGCAGAAGCGCTGACCCTTCCGCTTCGCTTCGCTTCTCGCTTAAAGCGAGGAAGCGCTCGCTTTTTTTATCACTGGTTTTAAGTATCCAAGGTGAATGATCTAGTGAAAATAAAAAAAACAGATACACGAATTTGCCTAAGTCGTGTCCTAAAAGACTATTCCAGTAGTGTGAAAGTTTCCAAGATTGAACAAGCCTACCTCTTATTAGTGGAGGGAGCAGGAAAAACAAAATTAATTAATTAACCTACAAGTTTGGAACAATAAAGAGAAAAAATAGGAATCTTGTAGAGGACAAGTGTCTTCACATCTAAATGTGGACTTTGAATAAGTGGCAAAAACCTCTAAATAAGTGGTAAACAAGGTTAGCCACGTTGCTAACAAGCACAAGAATGGAGGCTATCATGGTTGTAAATAGCCATTATTGCTTCATCAATAGACATCAAGAAAATTAGCCTTCACTGACCTAAGAATCTTTTTCAGCCGTGTGAAAGTCTCGCAAGATTGAACAAGCCTTTCTCTTGTTAGAGGGGATAGGAATAGCAAAATTTAAATAATAAACTAGCAAGTTAGGAACAACAAAGGAAACAATCAGGAGTCTATGGAAAAGGGAACAATGATAGAAATTGAACGACAAAATTATAGTAGCTAAGAGGCTTGTAATGCCAGCTTATGATCAAGGCTAATTTTCTTAGTATCCAGTGCTGACGTAATGATGACTATTTACAGCCATGATTGTGTGCGTGCATTCTTGTTCTTGTTAGCAACATGGCTAGACTTGTTCGCCACTTCTTCAAAGGATTTTGCCACTTATTTAAATATATAAATGAATGAGCACATTTAGACGCAAAGAGACTTACCCATGCTAAGACATTTGTAAAATTTTCTTTGTACATGAATGACAATTCTACTAAATCTTTTGAAATACAATATTATTTTGCCAACGATTCCTAGCCCATTACATTTACATGACATCTTCCAATGAACATTAACCCCCAAGTTCCACTAAGATGATAGGATTGTCAGCTTAATACCAACAGAAAGAGAAAAAGGCATGAAAAGTCATCCGCCTAGATCCTCAATAGCATCAATCTGCCGTTGCTCAATTTGAACTCAAAGAATAAACCACATATTAACCAATTATAGCCTAGTAGTACTACTGGAAGTTTACCCTCAATAAGTGTGGGTTCAATTGCAATTGTACCCCTTTCCCTTTTCCAGCCCCCGTATGTTATTTATTAGAAAAATCCCATGTTGACCCCCAGCAACTTGGTAACACAAATCTCAACTTCTGCCTCGAATTATTTTTTTCCGTCTCCACTTCTTTTACGGTTTCATCTTATATGGGGAAAATAGGATGATTGATAAGCATAGTGAGGTCTATGATTATCTGAGCATTTGTTACAAAAAAGTCTTTGCGGAAACTTACAATATGCAAGATAATTTCATGAAAGCACTGAGAGACAGCTGACTAGTGATTCAATTCATAAGCAAAGCACTGAGGAATCTGAAACAATCTAATAGAGGATACTGGTAATATCCAATACCAACTGCAGCTGCTCTATGCTGGCATTGGTGGTTACAATTGTCCAGGTCACAGGGTCATGATTTTTACTATGCTTGAGGGATATACACTGACTAGCATTTGTGTAGTTCCCATCTTTTCTTTGACTAGCTGTTATAGCATATGTTCAGTAGTTTCATGAAGTGTAGTGTAGGCGATTTTTCAGGTTGTGCATCTACTTTTGTTCCTATGGGTACCGACTCCTCCCGTTTCATTTTTCTTTTTGAGTGTGTGGGGGTTGGAGTGGGGTGGGGTGGGGGAGTGGTAAACTTGGCTTTGGGGATTGAGAGGAGCATGGTTATGCTGAGGGCCTTTAAATCCTTGACTATTGAGCTAATGCCTTGGGCTAACTTTGGGTGTCTTGCTTCTTGGTGCTTTAATTTGACAGCCAGCTCTGCCCTGTATAAATTATTATGCCATGTACTTCATATGTATGAATATTTTCAGTACTGGGAGTTGATGTTTTAAGCCAGACCTAGAGACCAATGTTTAATTTGATCTGAATTGATTCATGATACCTCATCTAAATGACATTCAATGCTACGAGCCCAATATTCTGGTACCTTTAGTGCTATGTCAGTATTGGGCTTAATATTTTTAATTATTATTACTTACTAAGGAAAACAAGGCACCATATGAGTATTCCCCTCTTTTGTGTTCATACTCAGACCGCCCTCCCAAATTCAGATTGCTTCGCTTGGAGAACTCGCAAATATGCTAGGAACGGGAAACAAAAGTTATGGAGTGTAAAATTAAGGCGTTCAAAGTGGAGGAAGGGAAAAAAGCATATATAGGGAGAAGTTGGAAGGTTGGATGGGGACCACATTGAGTTAGTAGTGGGTCTACAGCTCAAAGATCAAATAGTGTGAGCAGTGCTGTGAAGTTCTGCTGGTTTCCTGTATGTTATTCAGGGAGCATAGGATATATGCACCACATTGACTCGAGTTAGCAATCATCAGAAAGTATAGATGGTCAAACTTAGTTCAAAACAACTGTTTGCAATGTTCACATTGTTTTCTCTCTGTGATTCTGTCAAACTGATCCTTTGCC